ACAGCCAAAGGGGACAAGGCTAAAAGTTCCTATTCCTAACTGAGGTAACTCCTACACTTACCATTATACTCATTTTGATCAGTCTGTCCAGACTCTCACAGAGGCACCTAACAAATGATGGAAAAACAAACCCCGCTCCTGTGCAGCAGGGCTCCCTCTATGTTCCTTTTAACAGATGGGCAGAAAGGAGCTAGGACTCAGAGCTGCAGCACAACCATAATCTTCAAGGTTTGGGAGTCCTGCAGAGAGGTCCTGGAAGACAGAGGGGGAGCGCCTAGGTAGGAATCATAAGAGATGTGCAATGCAAGGTTCTGAACCCCAAAAACATCAGCATCCATTTTGTTGTCTTCTTTTGAAATACCACCTTTACTCGGGCAAATATGGTTACATCTAGTGACATTTGAAAAGGACCCAATTTTCCCACTTCCAAAAAATGTCTACCCAAAATAATTAATACCAGTCATATTTCACCTTCGTAGAATTATAATTGAATATCCTGTCAAAGTTTCACAGAAGCTTTCAGCCACTGGAGAGTTTTTTTGAAATGAGACTCAATCACGGTTTCTTCCAAATGTGTAATGTAAGACTACGTCTAGACTGCATTGCATTTCGCAATGCTGCTGACATGTTCTTTCGCCCTGTAAACCTCGTTCTACAAGGCATAAAAGGATCTGTTGAAAGAGCACTTTTTCTGAAATTTGGCGCTGTGTAGACACGCCAATTTTCAGAAAAGCCTCTTTCGAAAGTAAATCGGAAAAAGATACACAATTTGTTGTATGCAAATTGTGTATCTTTTTCCAATTTAGCACTACAGTCTAGACGCAGAGAGGAAAGAAGAAATTGGCACATTCACTTGTTAGAAATCAGTAAGAAAGAATTAAGAAGTTTTTATTTAATCTTGGGGGCTTAGTTGCATCAATTTATGCAAACAAGGCGTAATGAGGTGCCTTCTTTTGCATCCCTATTTTGGTGCCCCAGTAACTATGCTCTGACAGACCCATGACTAATAACTGTAACAACAACAGATCAGATTATCTCAAAGTAAATATTTTTTTCATTGTATCAGGAACCGAATGCTTAAGATTTACACAAGCCTATAAAATTCTATTGCATTAATGGCAGTTTCTCTTGGAAATCCACTGTGTATTGATGGGAAATCCACTGTGTAAAGAGCCTAGAGTGACCAGCTAGAAACCTGGTGTTTCAATCACTAACAGATGTCTTGATTAAGATGCCAGAGGCAAATGATTCACTAAATCCAGCTGTAAAAGCAGATGGTGTATTTTATTTCCAAAGGTCAAACAGAATGGGAGTGCTTCTGCAACACTCCCAACCCCTGCTTGAGAAGCAAGTGATGAGACCAGGAAATCAATCAAAGGTCTTTCATGTGGTAATACAGAACGCTAATCTCAGGGCCATCAGTTTATGAGATCTAACAAGGTCACCACATGAAGTGTAAATTCAGTGATGCCATCAGTCTGGTTATACATCTCTAGGTACAAAACCTATTCTGGATTCAAAGCAACTACATTTAGCATATGCTGCTCTGAAACTTTGTAGTAATTTTTACCTTTTCTGTATGTTTTAAATAAGCTGCTTTATTCACAACTGGCTTTGCAGATAGAGCAGAGCATGTTTTAACTACTATCCTGAAACTATCCTCTGAAGCCACCAATAACAGTATATAGGAATCATAGCAGTGTAGAAAAAAATTAGAAGTCACAATATTTCTTGTCCTGCAATAAGGTTATAAACTCCCTGGAACAGGGACCATCTTGTCATTAAATGTTTGCACAGCACCTAGCATAGTGAAGCTCTTTCTCCTCTTTGACTGGTGCCTCTAGGGATTCTTATAATCAGGGCTTGACAAACGGCGGCGAAAGCCGCTCGCCAGCCCTGCACTGCGCATGCGCAAGCACAGCCGGTAAACAGGGTGCGCGGCTGAAATCTACTCGCCACGGGCGAGCAGATTCTATAAGTTTGTCGTGCCCTGCCTATAATAATAAACAACAGATATTTTCCTGAAGGATTCTATTTGTATAATTCAAACTGCAGCACTCTATCTAAATCTTATTTTAACAGACTTTTGACATGATGAAAAAAAAACTTTGTAGGCCAAAAATATTTAGTCTGAGGCCAAAGGAGAATCTTTCTAAATAATTTACAGGAAAACAATCTAAATTTTGAGTCACACCTTGATCTTAGAACTTTAGACTTCTCTTGCCACTTCCTCTCTAAGGGCTATGCTTCAGAAAAGATCAACCCTCAGGAAGTTCATCTTCTAGCACTGAATTTAGCGGTTCTACTGTACACTCCCAAATAAAACAATCAGGACAGCCCCCACCAGCTTCCCATAGTCATTCTGTGAGGAGCAAGGCTTCTGTCAGCCTTCCACAGTGTAGTTGCTGTCACTGCTCGGCTTAAGGTAAGCCAAATCCAGCTACACATTTTGAGTAACTGGATGGTTTACCATAAGCCAACCTACCTGGTCTAGTGTAGACCGAGGCTAAAAGAATTAAGAACAGTTTTCAGAGTACGCTGTCTGCAGAAGCTCTAGTAACTAGACCAGCAAGTGTGCCAGCAATTAGTTCTCCAACTGCGAGTCTGGAGGAAACTGAAAATAGAATGATGTCCAGAGACGCTAAAAGAACAAAATCTGTAGGCTGAATAGAAATAATTTTAAAATTAAAGTTTTCCCAAGAGCCTCGCTAGACACACACCACTACTCATTCTAGCATTTTCTTTCACCTCACTTCGGAGGGGAGAGGAAGGAAAAGTGGGCAAACAAATTCCATTTTATAGAATCAACCCATACTGCGCTCCCCAATAGGGATAGTGATAGAGATGCAGCCGTGTTAGTCTGGTGTAGCTGAAACAAAAGACAGAACTGTGTAGCACTTTAAAGACTAACAAGATGGTTTATTAGGTGATGAGCTTTCGTGGGCCAGACCCACTTCCTCAGATCAATATGTGGAAGAAAATCGGCACAACCATATATACCAAAGTGATACAATTAAAAAAAAAAGTGAATGCATGTGAAATTGACAAAACAAATTTTAGAACAGTGTGGGGGTGAGGGGGGAAGGTAAGTTTCTGTGAGGTAATGACATTAGGGGTGATAATTGGGGAAGCTATCTTTTGTAATGGGTGAGATAATTAGAGTCTTTGTTTAAACCCATACATAAAGTGTCAAATTTAAGCATGAATGACAATTCTGAAGCTTCTCGTTGAAGTCTGGAGTTAAAGTCTCTTTGAAGCAATATGCATGTTTTAAGGTCATTAAGTGAATGATCAATCTGGTTGAAACTTTGTCCACATATTTATTCTGCTGACACCATTATTGGACCTAACCATGCCTGTTACAAGATCAAGAACACACATTCCTGTTCATCAAGAAATATAATTTATGCCCTCATGTGCCTAAAGTGTCCGTCTGCTATGTACATTGGACAAACGTCTCAGACACTTCTCCAAAGAATAAATGCACACAAAACAGACATAAGACTCTCACAGAGAGAAAGCTGTTGCTTGCCATTTCAGCCAGACTGATCATTCCCTCAATTACCTTAAAACATGCATATTGTTTCAAAGAGACTTTAACTCCAGACTTCAACGAGAAGCTTCAGAATTGTCATTCATGCTTAAATTTGACACTTTATGTATGGGTTTAAACAAAGACTCTAATTATCTCACCCATTACAAAGATAGCTTCCCCAATTATCACCCCTATGTCATTACCTCACAGAAACTTACCTTCCCTCCTCACTCCCACTCTGTTCTAAAATTTGATTTGTCAATTTCACATGCGTTCATTTTTTTGATTGTATCACTTTGGTATATATGGTTCTGCCGATTTTCTTCTACATATTGATCTGAGGAAGTGGGCCTGGCCCACGAAAGCTAATAAAATATCTTGTTAGTCTTTAAATTGCTACATAGTTCTGTCTTTTGTTCCCCAATAGGGATGTTAGATATCATGTAATTGAATAGTTGTGTTCAATTCTTATCGGTTACATGACTATTCTATAGTTCCCGGGCTTGCAGCCAGTGTAATCTGGCCCCACCTCCGGGGAGCCCCCTGACACCTGCACTGTTCTCTCTGTATCACAGGCAGCAGTGCGGGGTGCCAGACG